AAAAAAAAAAGATTTGCCATAATTTTTGTTATACAATATTTTGAGAGTACCTCTTTGTATTTAAGTGTTTTCGAGAGATGGGCTGACATGCTGGAACCCCTATATCTTTAAACGTATGAGTATGTTGACAGCATACTTTTACCATCTTATTTATTTTTCACTAGTCACAACTGACTTTGCAGATTTCTTGTTTTTTGTTTTCTTTTTTTTCTTTTCTTTAAGGCAAGTAATCACCGGACCTACAGCCAATCCCTCTCATTTGTTATGATTTGCTTAAAACACACTGATGTAGTAACTCCAAGGAATCGGTTCGGTTATACAGTTAAGAAAGAGAAAAAGTTATGTCCACCTCCCTTCCCCATAAATGCAGCCCTGCACTCGCAAGAATAAACAATGGCCTTCTTTGTCTTCCGTGGCTAAAGCCATTTTGTCCCGGCAGCCAGGGTTGATATTTAATTTAGTTGATTTCCTGTGAGCTGTAGCCCCCCTCCTCTTTCCTTTTCCTATGTCTGTGAGCTCCACAGCCAAGAGACTTTGAAGCTGCTCAGATCACAGGGAACAAAGACTGACTGACCAGCCACTTCACTCCAAACACACACTATGCTTTTAAAGTAGAGGGGAATAAAAGAAAAAAAGAGTGGGTGAAATGGAGGGGGGGGAAAAAAGACAAAAAGATTGACCTAAATATACCTCATATCACTAAAGCATAAAAAAAGAAAAAAAAAGCAGGGACACGCGTTTCATGTATGTAGTGGGAATATTTGTAGTATAGTTTCGACATATTGTATAATCATTTAACACTGCCTGTGTTTACAATAATAGAGCAAATGACTCATCAAAATGCAAATGTATTTCTTTCTTTTTTTTTTCTGTAAAAAAACATCCACGCCAAGCAGTGTTGCATTATAGATGCCTCATAGAACATTCATTTTTCTCATGTTATATCCCTTATTTTTGCTACTTGCCATAATGTGTTTTGATATGATCTCTAGAAGGATATTGTTTACAAAAATGTACAAAAACACTAAAAACGTGTGTTCATTTTTCTTTTTTTTCCTTCAGTATGCATGATAAAGACATTTTTTTTGTATGGCTTTTTTTCTGACTGTCACCTCAATACCAAATTTTGTAGCAGAGGCCTCCCCGTTCCTTTGTCTTATTTGTTCTAGACCCCATGTGATACGATTTCCCAGGCTGTACCTGTTATTGAGATGATGAACGGATTAGAGAAGCCAATAAAAACTTTTTGTTACAAAAAATAGCACATTTGTCGTTATGTCTCCCAGAAGTATCAAAATCCAAAAGATTCCTCAATACTGTTGATTAGAAATGCTTATTGATAAGGATCAGTACATGGACTAGAAGAATTTAACTTTAGATATCAGTACTATATCAAAGCAGGCTACTGTATTCACATAAATATAACTGGGTGCTTTTAACTATTCAGATTCTGGTGGCATAATAACAGCTATTGGC